GAACCCCCCAATTTATCTGAAAAAGGGGTATCTGCACATTCAAAAATGATTATTGCTCAAAAACTATTAAACATAGGAGTTTCAGAATTTTTTTGTTGTTTAGCTCAGATGAAGCTCTATCCATCAGGCCCATCAATCAGTGCCCCCACCCCGCCCGACCCCCAATTTATCTAAAAAAGGGGTATCTGAACATATAAAAATGGTTATAGCTCAAAGACTATTGAACATAGGAGTTTCAGATTTTTGTTGGTTGTTTAGCTCTGATGAGGGGCTACCCATCAGGTCAACCAATGCCCCCCCAAAGAATAAATAAAAAAGACCCCCACCCAAACCACTACAATTTTGGGATGCACCTAGTAGCATAACATTTATTAGRAATAAAGATTTCTGAGTTTTGGTGCATTTGTGCGTACGGGGGTCATTATGTTACCGCTATGCGGTATCTAATTATGATACAAATTTTCTGAATACCGGATATACAGGTTTAAACAGCCTGAACACGTTCGGAACATTTCATCGCGGCCACCAGTTAACTGTTTCCCAAGGCCACTKTTGCCCGCAGCACCGCTGTGTGCATTAGCATGCTAATGTTATTGTTGGAGCAGCTTGTTGGAGTAACTGGCGGCGGGTGGTGTTTCAACTGCTTATATTGACCGAAGTTAAAAAAAAACATCCTGTTTTCACCATCGCTGAATGTAGTAAACAAATTTTCAGTGACGTGCACGGCTAGATTTGACGTGCGATGTTATAATGGATAAGTTAATGCATGGAGACGACTTTAACGTGCTTATTGTGAAAAGGCCAGGGGAAGTAGTTTTGTAGTAGAGCTGAGTTGACTGGTGTGCAAGGTGAGTCGTCCTTAAGTTTTATTAACACACAAAGATAGACCCGATACTGATCTTCCCTCAACCCTTCACGATCGGACCAAAATGCATGATTACTGTCTTCAACCAGGCAAAGAAGAAAAGATGTACAAGAGGAGGGAAACAGTAACACAGACAGAGGTACAGTAAAAGAAAAAAGTCAATAAGCAACATTTGCACATTTTATTATCAGCGGAGCTGTGATGAAAAAAAAAAAAACGTCAAATACAGTGAAACAGTGTAATTGTTGAAAATACCGTGATATAAAATTTGGGTCATACCGCCCAGCCCTAGGGCGTTTTGAGTTATTTACAGAATCTGAAAGTGTGGACTCTACGCTATCCAATGAGGTCAAACACATGGAAATCAAAAGAATAAATGAAGATGATATGGCCCTAAGATGTAAATTAGCCTTTGGCTAAATCTGGTGCAATGCATCATGTTTTTTATGTTTTTGTTTTAATTGCACAAAGTCTTACTAAATAACTTCATTCATTCATTCCTTCGAATGTTGGCACTCTGCAAACCAGATTAAGGAGAAAACGGGCCTCCAAGTTCCAGAAGAATATCTGAGGTGCTARTGGGAGTGTTAACAAAGGCTGTTCATTACATTACTCTGCATTAACGCCACCAACAATGACTGGCAGCACAGGTGTCAGGTCACAGGCTCTAGGAAGGTGTGCAGACAGAAGCTTTCATAAAACAGCTTTTGTGTGGCTTACCTAGTTAGAAATATAGTATTTTAGAAGTTTTTCAGCTTTTGTCGCCTTTCCCAATAAGACTGCGCTTCTGTCTTGTGAGCCTTTTTATAACACCACAAGCCTGAATATTATTTAAAACTACACACAATTTTAATTCAAGTCTATGTCAAAACCACACAGATGACGACCATTGCTCCAATTGGACAGAAAAGATGGGATGGGACAGAGAACAGAGCCAGAAATAAAGATGCAAGTTTTTAATTTTTATTTATTTATTCTTTTTTATTCTTTAGAAAGACAAAGTCCTGTGTGCTGCAGGTGTTTTGTCTGTTATGTGTGCATCTGCCCAAACACCAAGGAGGCACTCTGTCTCCTCGCTCCAGGTCTGGTCACGAATCATTATTTATAGTGTCCATTTAGTGGTAGCATCAGCAACACTAAAGGGATCATTTTTATCATGGTGAGTAGCCACAATGGCTCGTGCAGTCCAAAAAGTGCATGTTTCCTATAGTTGGCTCAGGTTGAGACAGGTCTGTATTCACACCAGAAGTGGACCGCACCAGAGTTCGCTTAGAAGCAGAGACCACCTCAAAAAAGTGGGACTCTTGTTTTTGTAAAAATGAAAGGGGGAAAAACTTCTTAAAGCCATTCAGGGATTAAACTGATGGTTCTTTCAAACACAGTCAAAGTTTTACCCAATCAGAACAGAGCAGTTCTTTCCCCACCAAAGAAATTCCTGTACTATAATTTAAAAAAATAATTAAAATCAGACAGCTCCTCAGTTGAAAGCACTAAAATGATACAAAAGTAACCTACAGGTAAGCTGTTTGTACCATCCCTCTTCCTTCAGAAAGCCGTCAATCTTAACTGACAACATTTGTATAAAGTAAACTTTGTATACTGAACCATATTCTTATTAAATTACATTTTTCCTGAGATTTTCCCCCATTGTTTTGTAAAGGACAACTAAAAATGTTAGTGTGCATGTTGTTGTTGTTGTTGTTGTTACAGGTTGTCTGCTGGACAACCTGGAAAATGTCCTTCTGTCTACCGCTGTTTTAAACCATGTGAGGAGTTGTGATCTAAATTGGGCTAAATTGCAGACCTATAGCAGAATTCATATATGTTTTCTGATAATTTATTTTAGTAACTGTAATCAGTTATGGGTAACGTTAATTAAAAGAGATGGTGTGATCTTAACATGCGATTAAAGCATGCTAGAGAAACCTCGACTGTCCTTCAAACCAGTGACTTGTCATTATAAACTACAGTAATCTCATCTGTAGTGCGTTTTCATCTCTACAAAGAGCATCTGGGACAGGCTGTCAATCTGGTGAAATGCATTGTGGGAACACTCAAAATAGACAGCAGGGGTTAACCAGATTAGAAAACATCAACTTAGCCTCATACCTCTACTCAACTACATTGATGAAAACACCTTTGAGGCAACTAAAACTTGACTTGACCAAATTTAGTCTCACCAATTTGAACTGACTGAGCCCAAAACATTTTCTGTGGGGCAATTGTGTTTCATTCTGCAGCGGAGCAACCATTCTGTGCTGGGCAAGCAGCAGCATATATAACACAAGGTCACTRAGAGTCTCCAACAAAAGGACAAGGTGTGTGTGTGTGTGTGCTACAGCTTAACGGTTTCTCACATTCATATCCTGTGTGTTGAGAAAATGTAACAGTTTCCACCTAATGTAAACTCCTTTGCTCAGTGTCCTTCTATCCATACTAACGTTTTGGATTTTCTCCTTACTAAGCAGTTGCCTTGAGTTTCCTACAGTAAAATGACGTGCTACTAATAAAAGACACTATAACTCAAGTGGAAGTTTCCACTAGACAAACAGTGGTGCAGGCCAACGAGAAATCATGTGGAGCTGAATCTCAAATATATGCCTCTAGATGTGGAAAAAATGTATCGTTTTACCATTTCCCTTTGGGATACCATGATGAGGCAGGCATTTTAACATCTATGACCGCAAGCCATGCTTCCATTTGTAATGTGATACATGTATGATGTTATAAATCGGATATAAATCTTATGCACATTTAATGTGATGCAATGWGTGGCTAATAAAAATGACAGAATTTGTGAGCTTTTCTCCTTGTTTATTATGTGTGTGAGATTTTATCTTGAGTTTTTTCAGATGAAAATTTGTAGTTCTGTCTTTATTATGATTGTGTTTTGATTTTCATTYATTTCTTTAGCCTAATCTTGACCTTTACACTAAACCYAACCCTAATCAAAAYTCAATTCACATCTTAGTCCTAAACCAAAATTAAAATGTATGTTCCACCATATTRGAACCAAGCTTTGGTTCTCTAAAACTCTACTAAGTCCTTTGGGTTTGTCTGTGTCTCTTTCCTGTCTCCAAATTCTGTTTTCTGAATTCCACATTTTCATTCAATCCATTTTTCTATCATAGGGCCACATTTTACTAGTTCAGTTAGAAAGTGTTGAGCTGTAGAATAACCCTTTAAATCAAGACTGCTTGCAGCCAGACAAGTGCTATTGTCTTCAGGGTTTTTTTTACTTTTTTTGCCTACTGTCATGCAAAATGACCAATCATGTGTGTGCACCAGGGATGCRCGTTATCAATTAAAGAATTAATCTAAAGTGGATTGATCTTCTCAATCAAGTAAACGGTTGATAACCCTCCATACTTGTAACAGACATTTGATAAAAGATTTACTTCAACTGTAAAAAAAAAAAGACTAAAAATACGGTAGGCCAGTTAAATTTGACATATTTAAAAATTA